CATTGACTCATTCTCCCCTTTTGAATACAACTGATCCCGTAAGTGTTCTCTTTTTCTCTTCTAAGAAACAACCAAGCACCTCAAAGATGCTATGTCCTCTATCTAAGGTCAAAGATGCACCATTTAAGATTCCACGCTCGATGATTTAACTGAAAAGCAGTGTCTTGTGAAGCCTGGCACAGGAGAAAGAGGCTTGCCAGTGTAATCTTAACTTCAACATTTACTGATTTGTAGGCTCAACCATGCAGTCAGAATATTCTTTTTAAATTGTTTTCATTTCCTCATTCAAATCAGAATCAATTTTCACCAGGATACACACAGATATTTCTATTAATTGAAAAATATTTTTCAGTGAAGTTTTGCTTCAGTACTATTTAACTACTAGAAATACGTTTTCTTTCCTTTTTTTGTCCTCAACCTTCTTGCACTCAGAAACTGTATCTTGAAGTTCAGTGTTTCAAAGGACTACTATGTAAAAATATGTAACTTGCAGAATATGCTACTTGTGAAATTTTTTAGTTCTAAAGAAAATCTCTGATGTAGGAGCACCCTAAAAGAGCTATTTAGGATAAAAATGTTTGGTCAACTTGGGTAACAGTTGTTCCCTCTCTTTGTGTCTTTGTGTGCTTTTCATTCTACTATACCAATTTACTCTATTTCTTCAGAAAAGTTTCTCATTCACACTACTTCTACCTCTTTCTCTAGGTACCTATTTCTCTGCTTCTACCTATTTCTCTAGGTTCTGTAGGTCCTTCTGCCTATTCCTCTTTTCTATTCTTGATTTTCTTTAGTCATAGTTCTCTTTTCTCAAAATTTTACTTTGACCTCTGTTCGCAAAGTCACCTCTCCCCCTCCATTTTTTGCTACCGCCCCTAAGCCTTGCTGAGGCCTCTTCCCCTGTGGAAGAAGACACTTAGTGACATATGGGAGTTACAAGAAGGGAACTATCCCAAACTATCCCAAACTATCCCTTTGCAGAAGAAATCTAGGAAGGGTAGTAAGCGACGGATTTGGCTAAATCCTGAGCTCACAACACAAAAAGGAAGCACAGAGAAACTAGGTCAGGTTTCTAAGGATAAGTACAGAAGTACAGTGTAGCAAGAGCACATAGGGACAAACACAGAAAAGCCAACGCAACAAATAAAACTTAACTAGCAAGAGCATCACGAGTAACAAGAAACCATTTGGCAAGTACATCAGTGATAAGAGGAAGTCGAAAGAAAGTGGATTACTCATCAGCAAGAGAAAGCTGTTGAGTGATACTGAGAAGGCACGGAGCATTTAATGCCTTTTTTGCAAGAGTCTTTACTAAAGAGGTCATTTGTGATCAGGTGATTGACATGATACATATTAATGACAAAGGAATAAGATTTCGCCCCAGCCTAGGAAAGAATGAGTTGTAGAGTATCTACATAATTCAGAGGTGTTCAAATCAATGGGCTGGCCTGACTTCATGCTAAGGTACTGAAAGAAATGGCTGAAACAACTTTTGAAGCTTTAATGTGTATCTTTGAGGGTTCGGGGAGGATGACCAAGGATCATGCTGATAGAAAAAGGCAAAAGTGGTGCCTTTCTTTAAAGGGCCATTAAAAAAAATAGACCAGTCAGCCAATTTTTTCCCCCAGAAAACAGCTAGTAAAAATAGACGAATCACTTGTAAGCAGTCAGAAGGAAACCGATAAGTAACAGTTACCATGGACTTGTCAATAGGAGATTGGGTCAAACTAGTTGAGTTTGTGATAGAGGATCGGACCTTGCCATGGGACAAAGGGGCAACAGATGCCACAATCTATACATTAGCAAAGGTGTTGATGGGTGGATTATAGACGGTATTCCAAAGGGATCTGTCCTGGGTAGTTTCATTAGTGACTTTTACAGGTGGCACTAATCTGAGAGTGACTGCAAGTACACTGGAGCATCAAAGAAGAGTTCAAAACAACCTTAAGAAATTGTTTGAAAAGCACAGAGTGTAACTCAAACGCAATAACAGAGGAGGTGTTTTTGCAGGCAGGATTAATCAACTGCACGAACACAAGCTGGGGCACAACTCAGCCACAGCTACATACTGCGTGCAGCAACCAAAGGGAGACCAGAGGAGAATGGCGGGCAGCTGGAGGCCTAGGAAATGTCAGGAAAGGTGGATAAATTGTAGTCAGTCAGCATAAAGAAAATATGATCCGGCAACATGATAACAGTCATCCAATTGTGAAAGGGCAACAGGAAGAGAAAAGGGTATGACTTCCGTGGACAAGAAGCAACAGGTTCATGTTTCAGCAAGGAATATTCAAGTTAGACACAAGGATGAAGTTTCAAACAAGTAGGGCAGTGTAGCTGTCAGACAGATTGCCTGGGGAGGCCACAGAGGTCTCTATTACCAGAGATCTCTAAGAACAGTTAGACAAATTTCTGCCAGGAATGATGAAAGTTGGTAACCTCAGTGGGGTGGGGGGGGAGATGGACAAGGTGACCTCCAGAATTCCCTCCCATCCTGAGCTTTCTGCAAGTGAAAGCAGTCTGTGAGCTGGCAGAAATGTTACTCTGCAGGAGACTTGGAGGGAGTAGGAAGAGGCCTAGGGGCCACACAAGAGAGCCTGAGCCACGGGCATGGGGAAAGCTTTTTGGTGTCCTGTGTAAGAAGAGGAGCAACAAGGAGCAAGATCCAAGCAGATAATGGTGTGCAAGGACTCAGTGCAGAGAGGATGTTTTAAGTAAGGGAAAGTCCACAATTGCTTTTCCTTTTGTATTTAGCAATGACCCCAATCCCATACCAATACATACAGGTATTTTCTGCTCACTAATCATGTTCATGTGTACAAGCATATAGTGATCTGTTGTGTCTAATTCCCTGTTTCCAAAGAAAAACATAACTATTTAGTTCAGTAATGCATAGGCCGAGTTTCATGATGAAATCATCTGAGGCACTTATATGCTCACATAAATATAGTTTAACATAAAAATATGTTCCACAAATTTGAAATTTCTGTTTTTCCTAAAAGTAACTTAAAACCTTGCAATCTTGTACATAAATGAAGTAGGCATTTAACTAGGCAATGGGACACATTTAAGGAGCATGAAACGGGAAAAACAGGATAAAAAACCCAAAAAGCCTATTAGTCTTTTTTTCCCAGCGGAGAGAAGTGCAAGTGAGCAGAATAGTGTCATTAATCACGGCAAGTAACTGTTTACCATTATTTCACAACTAATGAGAGGTGTTCATACGATTTTTGTAAGTGTGGAGTTACTTGTTAACCTGACTGAAACGATGTACCTACACCTGCTTGCATCGTTCCAGGTCGCAGAAACGCCCTGTTTGCCTTCCAGTTTTCCCCTTCAACCCCTCCAGGTCTGCCCTCCAACGCGCTCCCCCCTCTCCAGCCGCCCAGGGCGCTCTTGCGCCTGGGCTGCCCCCGCGCTTTTCTAGCCCAGCCCCACTGCAGCTGTCCTACGTTATCAAGCGGAGACCACGTAAATAATTGATATCGAAATACCCGCACGCTACAGACGGGAAACACCCCGTTACACGCTCCCCTCGGCGTTTCCCCTCCTTTCCGCGGCCGCCCGGCACCTGGCTCGGGCCGCGGGGGC